AAGAGCCTTTCCACAACTTCAGCCTCTTCCTCTCTCCAGAGACCTCTTGCCCTGGGGTTTTTATATCTTTTGATCAATTCCTTGGTTTGAAGATTCCTTCAAGTACTACTTGATAACCATAAAGATGTTTTATTTCATTGCTTTTTAACCACCCAGTGTTTTTCAATAATCAGTTCCTTAGACTATATTTTATATAACAAGTTGTAGTTTTTTGATGAGATTTTGCTAAAATGAGGACAAGCGATATTTAAGAAAACCCATAATCCCATTCCCATCTTTTGTCTAAGAAGTTCCTTGACTGGAGTTGATGAGATTCTGTAGGAGGATCAAACTAAAAAACTCCTAAGATAAGAACTTCAGCGAAGATACTTGAGAAGATGAAACTTTTGTTTTAGAAATTCAAATTTGTTACTAAAGTATATCCTCCTAAAATATTAATAATGCCTTTCTCTCTAATAGAACTGTAAACTGTTATTACCCCTCATTTTAGAGATGTGGGAAGAGCATTAGCTTTTCCAGGCCCCTTAGGAACTCCTCAGAAACTAGCAAATTCTGAAGACTGGGCATTTCCTGTATTTGTGTAATTCACGATCTGCTTAATAGTAGTGTACAAAGTATCAAAATACTGGCAGGAAATGCTTTTTAGTCTTTTCCAAGATTGAATGATCTTAGTGAGAACACTTTTTCAACTGAGATCAAGGATCTTGTGTGATTTTGTTTCACTAAAGAGAATAATGACCATATCATTCATTGTGCCTCTGTTAGCCATGTCCTAGTAAGTGTCAGTTATGTGAAACTTTATTTATTGTGCAGTTCAAGACAACATCAATCGTTTCCTAAATAAATGAGTATTTATTCACATTCACAGCTCATTACCTTCATAAAATAATTTAGTTACCTCTGTGTCATCGATAAAATATATAACTCCAGTTCATAATTTGGTAAATACAAAAATAATCTATTTCAACCATAAGTTCTAATATTAGGTCATTTTATTAGATTTCTGGGGAGGTTTGAGTTGTATATGATATTTGAGTATAACTACATTCAAAATATGTTCTCCCAAATTTTCACTTATAAAAATATACCTCATCTGTCTTCACTTCCGGATTTCTTATTCTGTTGCCATGTGTCTGTCTGTGAAGCAAGCTGAGCTGCATTCCAGGGGCCAACTTGCTCAGTTGCTTAAAAGTCAGCAGGATAATGCATTTGCTGCTGGTGCTGAGTGGTGCAGGGTCCTCACACCAGAGCTTTTAGCCAGGAGTGCTATTCTTTCTGTATTTCAACTTTCTATTCATTGCCTTGTAACTTAATGACCTTACCCTTTAGGCACTAAAAGTAAGGAGATGTTACTTGGGAGCTGTTATTATCTAGAATATATATCTCTTAAGTGTCCTTAATACCTTTAGATAGTTTATCCTTATCCTACTGGTAAGAAGGCTAAGACTCGGAAATTAATTTAAATTAAGCCTTTGACTCAGAGGTACTTAGGGAAATTTAAAGATGAGGAATATATTGTCCTGGTCTTCGGAAGTTTGTGTTCTAATAGAGTATAAAAATTAAACATGAACGTCCATGGATATAGCTCAGTAGTGCTGTGCCTGCCTGGCAAGTGCAAGGTCCTGAGTTCAACTTCCGATACTGAGAAAAACATTACACTTGAACACACTGACAGAGCTTGGATACAGGTGGGGGCATGTGTTCAGTGTGTACACACATGTCTAAACCAAGGGTGATGTATTTATCTTTCCCTGAATTTTGCATGTGTAAAATTTTAGCTCAGCAAACAGGAATGTCTGAGAGCACTCGGGCAGAAATGAATGTAGTGCTTCCTGTTTGTTTGTATGTGTCCTCAAGCCTTAAGCTACCTTGTGTGCACTTACGAATTAGGACCCAAAGTCCCAAGAGTCCTGAGGAAATAAAGACCAGAGTGGGCAAGCCAGATTCCTAGTAAATCCAAGAGCCCCGCAAGCAGTTACAATTCAAAAAAGAAGGGAAAACAAATCAGACGGGAACCCATCTGAGGGCGCAGCACACCTAAAGATCAGTGGCTTCGGTGGCTGCATGAGCTGTTGAGACAGACGTTAAAGATAAAGCCTGTTCCTCGTCAGCCCAGATGTGTTAACCATGTAAAAACCTGTGTGTCCTCAGGAAATTGGGCTCTGTATCTCCCTGTAAAACGAGAGAGTGTGGATTAACCCGGCCAAATGGGAGGGTGAAGCAGAAGATACACCGGACTCAGCAGCAAATTTGGATCTAGTCTTTTAATTTTGCTTTATATTTTCTCAAACAAGCCTCTTCAGTGTGTGTAGGAGCAATTATATTTGAGATGGCCTTCAATGTATTCATGTTGGGACATTTCTATCTGATATTCTTTAAGTTCAGGTATCCTTGGTGCATTCAAGCCAGTGTCCAGCCGTCACCTAGCCGTTGTCGTCACTGTTGCCATCGTTTGTATTTACTGCGTCCGTGCCTTTCATATGGCAGCTGCTGAGCTCAGCGCAGGCGTCCTCACGTCCAGTCATTGCAGCAAACCAAAGTCTCTGCATTGTTGCTGTCTGTGTTTTAGCACAGGAGAAACACGCTTGGAAGCAATGGCTCAAGAAGGCAAGCACACCAATTTCAGGTTGCGAGGGTCTCTCAGGGGTGTCGGATCTTAGCGACTGCACCATTGTGCTTGCTGCCTTCTGGAGTTGGGACTTCAGGGTTTGCATCTGAATTTACATGACACGGTAGCCCTGGGAGCAAAGGTAACTCAGAAGTATCCCTCCCAAATCGCCGCTTGGTCCAGCTAGGAAACATTTTAACATAGTAGCGGGCAGCCTCTCTTTTTAAAGTTTTAAATATTTATTTACTTACTTAGTTAATTATTTTGTGGTACTGAGGGTTGAAACCAGGGCCTTCACACTGAGCTACATCCGCTGCCTATTTTTTATTTTTTTATTTGAAACAGGGTTTCCCTAAGTTGCCCAGCCCTTCCCTTAAACTTGGAATCCTCCTGCCTCAGTCTCCCAGAGTGCTGGGGTTACATCACTAGGCCCAGATGTGCCACCAGGCCTGGCTTCTTTTTTAATCATAAATTATAAGAAAGAAAAAGTTCACCAAGTGCCAACAAACAATTTTATAGCTTGAAAAATATCTTAAACCTTTGATATTTTTATATAAGTATCTGAAATTTTGTATAAGTGAAGTGAAACACTTCCAGATATATTGCAAATTGAAATCAACTTTACTTAAATAAATTTAGTGAAAAACATAAATATATACTACATTACTTACATTTATGTATGGGCATATATTAGACAGATAAATAGGTTATATAAATAATATTGGCTCCATCCATTGAAGTATTCCATTAGATGACAACTTAAGTACATTTTCTGGTATTTTAAAAAGACTTTATTTGAAAAAGAATCTCATGAACTAAATTTTCTCCAAATAAATGTACTGAAGTAAATAATACTCCTTTTGAAAGCAAACATTATTGTTCTACTTATATAGATAACTCCTGAAAACAGGCAACAATTTATTTAGGTATTTAATTGCATTCTTTTTGACAGCTGCCAGTTATCACTATTTAAATGCATGTATACATAGATATTTTCTAGTATAATAGATTTGATTATTACAATTTTATGAAGCCTTAGAAATAATCCCTATGTTTTACGTTTGAAGAAATAGATCTGCTATTAACTAAAAGTCATAGATAATAAGGAGTCTTGAGGAGACAAATGACGAGACATTTAATCTGATACAGCCCAGACCATGGCCTCATAGCACTCAGTGTATTTCGGATAGTTGTCAGGCAACAGTTCCTCAAATCGCAGCAAGTGGTTTATATAAAACAGTCATCATTCCAAACCTTTGTTGAGATTTGCCAGTATCATTGGTCAGAAAATATTCTTAAAATTAACTACATAAGGATGTTTCAGCATTATATTTAAAATGCATATAAACAAAAATCTAGTAGCAGATACTCTGTTGGCAAATAATGGCCCAGTTGATATTTGGGCAGAGTAAGAATTTTCATTTATTTACATTATGCCAGGTACCACACATGTATTAGTTGTAATTTTTTAATGCAAGAAAGATTATAATTCTGATGATTTTATAATTAATTTTTTTAAAGGTAAAGTCATTTGGTGATGTTTACCCAACTAGTAAGAGTTTTCTTTACTCCAGGTTTTCTGAGATCCAAAGTTTGTCCTTTTTATAACCCAGCTTGAGGACTCTTGGCAATGATCTTTTGTTGTCAGTAATAAAATTTTGTCCATTAGCATTTACATTAGATGTATTTTATGAGAATAGGTCATTAATATAAATCATTTATGTCGGTTCTCAATTACCAGAATATTTAAACACCTAAGAACACCCTGTACCCGGAGTGTGCCGGTTAACTGATTATTTCAATTCCAGGAAGTCTGGATTATTGTTATAATAATGACTTTTTCTAGTATTTCTAGGATTCATCACTATTCCAGCAACTGTTCAGAATTTAAACTTTGTCTTTTCTCTTGGCTTTTCAAAAGAGACTTAGTGTTTTAATCATTAGATTTTGCATTATCTCTAGGTTCTCAGTGAAACAAAATGGAGAAAATCATGCTACTAGAATTGACCTTTATAATTTATAATGACAGCTTCGTCATATTTTTCCAAATTTTAAAGTTTAAAATTGTATTTCTTCATAACAAGCCAAATGTTTGTTTCTCATATTTTACCTAAATGTTCTTTCCTAAGGCCACTGCTATTTTGAAGCTATTTTAACGGCCTTCATTGGGGTGTGGGGAAAATGCTCTAATTACTTGGCCAAAAAGAAGGGTTTCATATAAATTGCATTTTTCTTTTAGGATAATTACTATTCCCTTTTGTTTTATATGCAACTGAGTGGGTACTGCAGTATCCTCTGTGGACAGTTAATGTTCTGAAGTAGGAGAAAGCTGATAATTGCTTGGAGCGGTCATACTGACGACTTGTGCGTGTTTGTCAATCTGTGTTAACAGTATCGCTCAGGATGGGATCCTCATAGAGGGGCAGATAATATTTCCACTAAATCTTCGGACAGTGATGTAAGTGATATATCTGCGGTGTCCAGGACTAGTAGTGCTTCTCGTTTCAGCAGCACAAGCTACATGTCAGTCCAATCAGAAAGGCCGAGAGGAAACAAGAAAAGAAGGTGAGTAGGGCTTCAGCAAGTGAGCACTTCTGAATGTGTTTTAGGAGGTCCGCCTTCCTCTGGCTGAGCCTGAGACCCTTTGTTTCTAAAAGATTACTATATGTCATTAAGGCCATAGGGACGTCTGTCCATATCACTTTTAATTTTATTTTGATTCACATTTCAGATTCTTAGACCCCCAAAATTTATGGAACTGATGACAATTTTGTGTAGTGTATGTTATTGGAAATAATATAATTATTTTATGTTGCAATACAAAAAATTAAACTGTTAGTATTACATCACTACTACAATTAAAATGATGGTTAACTGAAGATGTATATTTTTTAATGTTCCAAGGGATATGAGAAATAATATACTGCAGGGTTTCTTCCTAGCTGAATAAATTTCAGTGATTTGGAAAGCAAAACCTTGCTTTTTTAGTGTAGTGCTCTCCCATCCTCCTGAAATTTTATAAATACATGGCTAACTTCCTCATCTTCTCAAGAAAATGTATATATGTAATATATAATTTGCATTTCTTACTTGTTCTATAGATTTTAAGGTTACTTCTCCTGTGTTATTTGTTTTTACTTCTAATGGAGTAAAATGGAGATCACAGTTTTTGCTTGTTTTCCATGTAATTTTGTGACTTTTGAAAAAGGGAAATATGATTTTAAAATTATTATGATTAATATTGCCTACGCAGTACTTCTTTTGTAGAGAATGGAAAAGTTTTCAAGACTAAAAGGTAGAATTGATACTTACATTTCGATAGTCTTCATTGCCTTTCTGTTAATTTCATATGCATTTTTTCTTGACTTGTTTTTTTCTCTCTTTCTTTTTTGGTGTTTTTTTGCATGCCTTCCATTTATGCTGTTCTCTCAAGACCAAAGGAAATAGAAGAGGGAGGGCAAGAAGGGGGTCAGGATGAAGGGGTAGTTCATGAGGAGGAAGAGGTGAAGGAGAGAGGGGTTCATGAGTGTGGGGCAGGGGAGGAGATTACAGAGACGTGGGGTAAAGAGAGAAACAGAGGATCAGGAGACGAGGAGAAAGCACAAGATACACCCGAGCAAGGGAAAGAACAAGAGCAGTGGAGTAAAGAGGATTTGCAAAGGACGCTCTCCCAAGATGATGGCAGGTAACATGTGCTTATGTTCGCAGGCACCTCCCATTAGATGTAGTCTTTCACCACCCTAAAACTTATTTTGCCATTTCTATTAGCTTTATTTTCTTGTGTTTTATCTGTTTACCTTCTAATACAAGTGATGGTTGTGTTGACAGTTTGCGATCAGGTTGCCTTACTAAATGGCCTTAATTGATTTTCACTAGCTTTGAGCATCTAATTGATTTAGTTTTCAGGTTCTCTATGATCACTTGAATCAGCTTTAAGTTTTCTTTTAGGTCTTTTGGCATGAAGTGTTGTACGGCTTTCCCAACCATAGAGTCTAAAGATGAGTGAAAAGAGACACTTTTTACCAATAGTGAAGACTGCTTCAAAGCAAAAGAGAGAAAGCCCCTTGAAATGGGATTCTGAAGGGGCTGAGAAGACTCAGCCTGCTTCCTAAGAAATACTATGTACTGGAGAACGACCTCAGAAATGCGTGGCAAAATAGCAAAAAGTAAGCTTTTTTCCACGTCTAGCTCCCCTACCTGATCTTAGTTTTCTCATAGACTGTAGTGCAGTTTGACTTCTGAGGAGGTTTATAAAGCAGGGACAGTGTTCTTTCATACCCTTAAAAGTACAAATGACTGGGGCTTGTTAGAAGACACACAGGGCTAAGCCTTTTGAAAATTCACCAGGCAGAGAAACTTGGAAAAGGAACTTTGAATAGGGAGAAAGCATGCAGGTAAATAAGGCATAAAATGACCTCATTGCACTGTCCTCACCCAAACCCATGAGTGTGAAGCATTGTGACTTGCACTGCACACGGTCAGGTCTGCACGAGTACTTGGTGAGACTTCACCTGCTGCTGGGGAGCTGAGTTTGCTCTGTGTTTATCTGAGACTGAAAATTACAAATCATGCTCATTTTGAATTGCGTTTTCTACCAGTCCATAATTTGACTGTGTGTTATGCAAAGCCTACTTTATAAACAAACTCTATTTTAAACCAATATTTGCATTATTATATGTAAGCTTAATCTGGATTTATACTTTTCTCCTAATTAATGAGAAATGATTCGGATGGCTGCTTACCCCTTGGGGATATAATTTGGTGATAACTATAATATTTCTGAGACTAAAAACTCTAGAGAACCAGGCTGATCTCTCTCGGAAACATATAATTTATAAACAGATGTGTATAAGAATGGGTTGGTATCACTCATCATTTTTACTGCATAGGACCCTGAATTTGCTTTTATTTTTAGATATGTAGAATTAGAATTTTTACAATTTAGAACTCTGACAGTCTTTATGATGAGGAAAAACATGTGTTCCTAAGGACATTTTGTTTTGGTACTTGATAAGCACAGTCATAAGTTGTTTGAACACATGTGCACAAAAACACAACTTTAGTGCATATACAACATTATTGGAAACTATCTTATTCATAATGCACCATACCTCTCACTTGGAATTCAAGTTTTATAAAGGAAAAAATTCTGACTTCAAAGTATTTTGTGAAATGCTAGTACTTTCCTTAGTGACCACAATGAAAACAACCCGTTATAATTGAGACTTTCTTCACAGTAATTAGATCTCAGTACCTGATACACAGTTCGGGCAGGGTCATGTTGCTGTTTTACAGTAAATCTACTGAATGTACAAGCAGAAAATGAATAGCAAACAGTTCAAGAGTAGTTTCTTAAATGGCTAGTTCATTCTGTTAATGAATGAGTAATATATTCACACTCAGCTTTTTCTATTTATGCACAAATATATAGATCTGGTAAAATTCTCCTACATCATTAATGATTCTGTATCATTAACTAGAAAGTACAAATTTATATATGTCGTGGTATTTATATATTTTTTATGTATGTGTTTTAATTTTTATATTTACTTGCATTTGCTGGTTATATACTACGTGTGTTTGTGTGTGGTAATTCGGCCAAGGAAGTGTGTTAAAAGATAAAGAGAGATCATTAACCAACCAGTATTTATTTAGAAGGTCTCTCAGGCACTGTACTAGTAGCTGGAGATAGAAAATAAAGGAAGCATTTTGAAATTTCTGTTTGAGGGTGAGAGCACTGTTAGCCACGTGTGGGTGGATGTTGGCTGTGGCTGCGTACCCAATGAGTGTCACAGTTACCGGAACAGATATACAAAGGTATTTAATAAGAGAGCTCATCTTAAGGAGTCTGCAGTAAAAGTTAGAAAGCCAAGTTTTGCGCAGTGGAATTTTGTTAGAATCAACCATGGGAGGGGCTGGGGATTTAGCTCAGTGGTTCGGTGGCCTGCCTTGCAAGCGCAAGGACCTGAGTTCAATGCCCGGTCCAAAAAAAAAAAAAAAAAAAGAAAAGAAAAGAATCAACCATGGGAGCCTTGTGTTCATCAGTTTTTATGCTGGGAACATAAAGCGAATAAACATTATAAAAAATCAAGATACCATCTCCATAAACTTAGTTCTTGGGCTATGTAATTTTAATTTCCCTGCTTAGAGAGAATTATTCCTTCTGAGATAGTGAAATTTTTGAAGGAAAAAATGGCATCAGTTCAAATTTTCAGAAATGGCTGTTTTTTAAACAAGATTCACGCCATTAAATTATCTAGGCATACAGAGTAATTTTAATCAAAAATTTATTCGAAGGCATTACTGCTAATGCCTTCATTGTAGACGCGAGTGGAGGTGTGAAAGCGGGTTTTCATGACTGTCGTGTGATGATCTGTACAACACACTGCGCCTGCGTCACAGCCCTGAGAGAGGAACCAGGTGTCTCGTGAAGGGCACCGTGAGCCAGGACCTACACTACCGGGGCTGTCCTCTGGGCTCCGTCTTGCACATGCACCACTTTCACTTCCTGTACTTTTTAACTCGTCACATAGAGGTGGACAGGGATTCACATTTTCCTGATGATTTGACTTCATTATCATGAATTCAAGAGATAACTGGTTTTGCACCTAATTACTGGCACAACAAATAGTGCGACCTAATTTTCCATCATTTCGGAGATACGTCCAAAGTGTCTGCAGCCGGTACTTAATGTTTCCTTCATCAGGGTCGCTGTGTTCAGTTTTTGGAAGAACTTTTCGGTGCTGCTGATGGACTGTGCTCCCCACCGAGTGTCACCATGGCTTGTGGTTTAACTTTTCATTGCTCACTGGGGCCACGTCCAGTTTAGTACCATTGATAATCTTACAGCCCCAAGTAACTTCTACTCTGTGTTGTGCTTGTTCATAATACTCTACTAGGAACCAAAACAACACTTCAACATCACTTCTAAAATTGTTACTCTGTGAGTTTGGGGTGAGGCCCAGGATTACACATTCTAGGTGATTCTGGTACAGTTGTCTGCGGATGGTACCCATCTTCTGAGTTGCTCATATTTCTAATGAATTTTAAGATTTGCTTTTGAATTTTTGAAAAAAATAATTGCAGCTGGGATATTGACAGGGATTATGTTTAATTTTATCAGTTCCAGGATTATTGCCATTTCAAGAATATCAAGTCTCCAATCTATGAACGTGAGATGTTTTCCATTTATTTTTTACTTCACTTTCTTGCAATAATGTTCTGCAGCCTTGTGTATACACACTGCACCTATTATTGTTGAATATACTTTAAATATTTTGGTGCTATTGTAAATAGAATTATTTTATTAACTTCAATTGTAGATTGCTTGTGTTGGTGTAGGAAAGAGTTAATCTTTATGTGTTTATCTTGTATCCTACAGACTTGCAATGCACTCATTTATTAACTTTAATGATTTTTTGGTTGATTCTTTGGTGTTTTCCATGTAGAACATCATGTCATCTGTGACTCAAGGTAGTTTTCCTTTCTTCTTTTCAGTCTGAATGCTTATATTTATTTTTCTTGCCTAATTGATTTGTCTAAAACATCTGCTACAATGTTGGATA